CATATCACCTTGTAATCATTGTCAGATGGTATCTTGTATTTTTATTCATGAATTTTATCACAATTTATTTCTTTCTAATTTCAAACATACATTCAGATGTTTGTTATTATGAAAATTCTAATGACAAGTTAAACTATAAATGTCATAATAAATGAATAATAAGTTACAAACCTGATCATTGTTTTAGATTGTCACTTTTTCTTCCTCATCAATTGTTTGCATGAGCATTCAACTTCGGCAGACAGCTAGTGCACATAGCTAAAAGTTCAAATTTTAATTAAGTGTATTTGAGCAGATTATTAAAAGATATCTCATTCATACAAATCTTGTTTTCATATAGTATAAGCCTGTTAAAAATAAATATCCACATGGCCCAATTTTTTAAAATAAAATTTATCGATACATTTATGTTAATTAAATCCTAATAAGAACACTGATCAAAGACAGAAATGCATACTTTAAAATAATAAATATTCAATAATTTCCATACCCACGGGTTCTGATAGGAACAATAAGCCCAAATCCTCTGTGTATTTTTGAGTACATCATTGATTGAGGTCGGTCTGCTGGATTTCTGCTTCTTATTGAATGATGATAATACATGGGATTCGTGAGAATTTATAAGGAATGGCACTTGACACGTTTTTCCTCTTCGTACATCACTTGAAGTCACTGTTTCATTTCAACGGCAGAGTAAAATGTGTGGAACAAATTTACATATTCTCAAAAGTTTCCGGCAAAATACCACATTCTGTTAGTATTATGTCCCTATTATTCCTATCTACAGAATTCAAATTAATTACATCTTTTGAGCAAGTGGAATCTGTAGTAAAAATGAAGCTGCAAACCATTCTGTTTGTCTTCTGCTTCCAAAAACATTCCACTTTTTCACAGGAAGCACAAAAGAGTTACATGAGGGGAAATAACTCTTGATAAAATTTAACATTTCTCCCTTGGAATACAGAATTTTAACCAGGCTATATTTTCTTTATTTAAAATAACACAACTCCAATTTTTGGAAAATCAACTGGTAAAACTAAAAACTTTATACAGGGTAAGTCTTGTTGAATTGTGTCGATGCGTTTATGAGTTTCATCCACGTATGTTATAAAGAAAATATAGTGAATGTGACATAAATATGACTTGTTGGTTTCAATGGAAACAGCAATATCCAATCATTTTGTATATACCAGTATACTTAGCTTGTAGTATATATTTATTTTACCAAAGTTTTATTAAAATTGATGACTATCGCTTTACATCAAATTTTGGTGCTTATAGAGAGTGGCTCTTCAGTATTCACAAGGGAATCGAAAATATTAATGTTTTTCATTATTTAAAAATGTTTTGAACACGTTGAAATCCGTATTATGGGCAGATGTAATTTAGGTTTCGTTGTGAGAGGTTGTTAAGGTAGATGCATCTAAATCCACACCTATTGACAAGGGAGGTTGGCGGTTTGGAAAAACCGACCGGATCGTTGTTTTAGGAAATACATGTATACATGTATGTAATTTCTTGTTTCTCGAGAAACAAGTGGCCCACGAGTCTTAATGATCACCTGATTATAACAAGTTTTTTAAGCTATGACTAACTTAGGGCCCAATTGGTACTGGTCTGAATTTATGTGACAAAACTCTTACAGTTTGCTGACGATTCTATAATCATTATCATATTCATACAGCTTGACTCATAGAATTAAGGCTAAAATAAGATAATATACACATTGTACCAAAAAGTTAATAAATGACCATCTTAGTTCCACCCTTATTCCTGGTAACCGGGGGATTTGAATTCAAACTTTTTGTACATGGTGAGCTGTTAAGTATATTCATGCCAACAATTTGCCTGCTACATGTCCATGAATAATGAAGATTTTCAAAGATATGATTTACTTTACTATATGTATGTATGATCGACCTAGCCCTATGCTGGAACCTGAAGGCTGTATTCAAAGGACATGAATTTCACAATATCGGTTGTGAAAGATTTTCAAAGATGAAATGTTTGTTTGTTGTTTAACGTCCCTCTCGAGAATTTTTCACTCATATGGAGACGCCACCACTTCCTGGTGGAGAGCTACAAATTTTGACCTATACTTGGCACTCAGGGCCATTCTTGCCAGCACCTACTGCGACACGGGACCTCGGTTTATACAGTATCATCCGAAGGACCGGTCTCCACGTCCCAAAGTAGGATTCGAACCCGCGACATAAGGATCAACTCCTTACTCCGCGACTCTAGAGCAGACGCTCTAACCACTGTGTTCTCATTATATGACTAACTAAGCCCCATCCTATGACCTAAACCATGGACTCACGGTGTAAAACTTTTTGTAAAAGGTTGAGTACTAATTATAATCAATAATTATAACAAATATTTTGCCTGCTAGATGAGCTAGATATAATGCATTTCTAAGATATGAAGAACTTAGCCCCACATTGATGTCTGAACGCTGAAAACAGGGAATATGAATTTCACAATTTTGGTAGACGGTTCATTGTTTACAATATTAATCATGTTAATAGTTTGCCTGTCAGATGTCCAGGAGTAAAGAAGAGGGTTTGTGAAGAATGTGTTAATTTTGATGGTTTTGGCCACACCCTTGCGGTTTCAAGGAGGAAGAGACCATGAAATTCATAATTCTGTCCCCCTTGATATATAGATCCTTTTTATCAGAATTGGTTTAGCGGATCCAGAAGAGAAGCTAAAATGTCGAAAAATTTACAATCGACGCAGACCGCAATGAAATTTCTAAAGTGATTAGGGTGACCTAACAAAACACCAAATATAGTTAAAACTCAAAGGCAAATTTGTAATTGAACAAGGATTGATGTACGGTTCAAGTCATAAAAATAAGAATTTTTTCTGGGATAGATGTAAGAAGCTGTTTGTTTTTCTAAAATCACAATAAAGGTGCACCTTGAAAAAAATAAAAATGAAATCAGTTCAACTAAATATTTTACAGCGTATTTCATTTTAGTGCACCTTTGTAATGATTTCAGAGGGACAAGCAGCTTCATGCGACATGCCACATAAATTTTCCAAACTTTTTTCCCCTACCAGTCATATTAAAGTTACTTTTGCTTAACTGTTCACCTAAAAATGTACTGATGTTAGATTTGGTATTGTTTTGTTTATTCAGAAAATGTGGGTCGTACTGATAATGGTTATATCAATATATATGTAGGTAAATATTGACATGTTTTTTAAATGGATTAGGAAGTCGTATGTATACTTTTCAAAATACATGCATACCAAATAAATCATATACTTTGCTTACATGATCCAGATTAATCTAATTCTGCAATGTGTATATGTTCACACGAAGTTGCTTTAAGAACTGAAAACCGCCAATGCAGTTTAAAGTTGGGGTTATCTGTTTGTAAATATGGAAAGTGATTGAATTAAATTTAAAAATCCTCTCTAGAAACAAGTTGGCAAGAAGAATAACTAGATTCACCAGTTTGATACGAAAGCTCCGCTGACATGCAAGTTTTAAATATTAGTCTAAGGATGTGGCAATTAAATCTCATACTACTGTTTTTTTTAATCAGTTGTCGATACCACAACGTACTTTAACTGCGTGAAAATGCTTATAACCTACAAGCACAGCAAAGGGGAAAAAGAGAATAATTAGAAATTTGAAAGTTTGAGTGAAGACAATACCGTTCGTAAAAATATGTCAATCAACATGCAAAAAACTTGATCTATAAGTCATCAATATTTAACAAGGCGTACCAAAACTCAACTCAAAACTTAGGAACAAACACAGGAAAAAAGGTCCAAACAGTGAATTATTAGTATTAACAATTTAAAAAGTTTAATGGCATATTAATTTTCGTAAAAATGGGTCAATCAACTTGAAACTCGAACATAATCTATGCGTCATCAATAAAAAGAATTGCTCAATATCCACAAGCACAGCAAAGTAACTAGTGAATTATCAGAAATTATGCAAAGTCTACAAGCAATAACTTTCATAAAAATGGGTCAATCAAAATGAAACTCAAACTTGATTTGCAAGCATTCAATAAAAAGAAACATGCCAAAAATAGCCCATTATCTATAAGCACAGCAAAATCAAGTCCAGAAAACTATGATGGAATATCAGAATAGCAGAGGACAGAATGTCAGAAAGTGATAACATGATATGCCAGAATGTAGATTAAATTAAAATTTGATAAAAAAAACAAAAACATTTCTGACAAGGAAAAGGCCCACGAGGGGTCCGATATTAAACACAGGAATGGATAGGAATCCTTTAGATTTTTCCAAGGTCAGAGAAGTTATTTGCGAAATCGGTATGCAAGCACCCTCATACAGCACAGAATAAAATTCTCTCGATCGGGATCAGAATACGAGCATATTACGGGTCTACACAGGAATTACCTGGTATACTTTTTCTAAAATAAGCGAGCTTTATTTAGTCAAATTGTTTCTAAATATAACATATCACTGGATCGTATTTTGGCTGACGTGTTTCATAGCAATATTGTTCCGTCTACCTGATCAATACACAGGCCTCAGGATGGGTGAGACCGGTCAAGAGGGGATGCTTACTCCTTCAAGGCACTTGATTCTACCTCTGGAATTTCCGGGGGTCCGTGGTTTATGCCCTGTTCACAGATTTGTATTGTTTGTAACTTTTTTGAGATTGATCACTGTTCGTTATCTTCACCTTTTCCATGATTTGCAGTTCAATTTGATAGAATAAGGATAAGAACATTGCATGGTACACCCATTTATGTAGAAATACATGAAAAAAAAGCATCATTGAACTCTTCATAAAGACAGCAAGACAAAACAAAATCCACAGTAAATAATCATCGGAATAATTCTAGCCTAGGAAAATTCAACCAAAAGTGAAAAGAAAACAATGATAAAGCTACGGGTATATATATTTAACTGAAGAGATTATCCATAATGTTAGAGAATAAAATGATTGCTATTCCATAATACGTTAAAGCTACAGTTACACTCGTTACTTTCAGGTCATTTGAAAGTCTGGTCTAATGATGAGAACTTGGATCTTCATCCCGCTAAGCCTATTTGTGCTGGTCAGTTGGGGAACCATACCATCAGTCCAACCGCAGTCTCTAGACCAAATAGAATCTTTCTTAAGTCAAATGAACATCAAGGAGAGGTTGAGTTTTTTAGCAGACATGTTAATTAACCATCCTGTACTTTACAATAAACTTGAGAAAATCTTGCTAGGTGCGGTGCCATTGATATCCGTTATTAAGATCAGACCAGAAATCAATGGTTACCTACTGCCATGGGTTTTAGACAATATACCAAAAGTCCTCAGAAGTGAACTGCTATTGAATGTAACCCGTGTAGTAGTGAATGAAATAAACCATATTAATATCACTGGTCTAAATACAAGTGGAATAGATCCTTTCATGGCGGGATTTATTTCACGATTTGACCTGTTGCATACGGGAATGCTGTCACTGGATGTAGTGCTAGATTCCCTACTTCCCAGTATGGGTGTAGGTCAACAGATCAAAGGATTCATAGAAGGCTACGGTGAAAAGATTCTACATGTCATAATAAACCAAATAAAGTCTGACATGAAGTCTCAAATGAACGGTAATAATACATCTGTCACAAAAATGAGTCAAACCAGTTTACTACAGCTAGGCGTGGGAATCCTACGAACCATTCTTATGCCTATGGAAGAAGTTTTTCCCAAGCCTCAAAGTTCAACCCTCACAGAACAGTGCTACAGTGATACTATGATATTCTTGAATAATCTTCTTCGAGGAAAAAGATGGGCTGTTCAAAGTAAAAAACATTTTGTAAATCTCTCTCATTCTCGTGCACGCGCGACTTTTTAGTGTTATTTTCTTCGAAAATTTACAACTAAAATAAAACATCAATTTTCTGAATTTTATCTTTTCTCCATATTTGATCTTCAATATTTAATACTTACCTTAGTGTTCGATTCTGCTGGTAAACCTCCCACTGGTACTCTCACCGGTAATCTTCATTTCATTGGCTCCTATGATCAGTGTCTGTCCATCACGCCTCAGAGTAGCAGTCTAGGTGGACAACTCACCACCAGAAACACCAGATACTGTAGGGCGACTTTTGATATCCCAGACAGTCTAATGGCTTCTGTTAAATCTTTAATAGGAGAAGTGGTAAGATTGAGTTTTTCCGTAACACATATTACGTTCATGTGGAAGTATTTCTTTTCCACTGATTTTTTCCACTTTCTGACAGAACACATATGGTGTTCCAATTACACTGACAGAGGGGTTGTGTCTACCAGCTTCTTGTCATGAACAAGATGTAAAAGAATTATTCAAATTAGGTAAGTGATTGTAGTGTGTAATTGAGATACAAATATAGTAATATTGTAAACACTTCTTGGATATTTTGTTGTACAACTTAAAAACAGTTTGATTTGCTGCTCTATAACACATCACGTAAATTGGCAAAAGGAACATTAGGTTGGTATTATGAATTTTAGGTTTCCTAAGAAGCTTCAACTTAGCACCTTCTGTGGAATGTTCCAACTCGTACGCACTGGAAAAAGACAGAGATGCCATCATTGTAATGTATGTACATAAAAAAATTATTTTTCTTTCATGGATGTACTGAGTTCTTAGTTTGTTATAAGAGAAGGACTTTCACTAGCAATTCTGTACTTAAGTAATATCGTTCACATTGTTTTGCCATTTGTCATGTATTCCAGAATTATCCTCTGCATAGTTGCATTCGTTTGCATAATGGCGACCTTATTCCACATCTATCGATTCTCGGAAGACGATGATGAGTTAAGAGTGTTTTCACCCTCACTGCCAGATGCTTATGACAACAAGGGGTATGAATCGGAAATGAAAGAAACTCAACTTTCATCCGAAAAGACGATTAGTCACTCAACAGGAAATGGACATTTAAATTCTGGGGAAGGCGATTATGAGTCTGTGGATACAAAATTATCCACTGAAAAATACGAAGGTTGTTTAAAAGAGAAAATGTTCAAGTATATACAGATAATTCAACAGCAACTTCATATATCTTTGATTCGTTTTTACACTTAATTTTCCCTCTCTCCGATGAAACTAAGCCTTACATTTTTGTACTGTAAGAAATTATAATGAATCATTTTTTTTCACTTTTATGTTATATTCTCAGTAATTAATCATTTTCCAGGTTTTAAGGAGGGAGTCACAAAGACTTTTTCATTGTGCCAAAATCTACCCGATATTTTGTCGTTTGATCATCCAAAAGATTCCATCCAATGTATTCACGGTTTACGATTTCTGAGTCTCGCATGGCTGGTTTTAGGGGATTCATTTCTGTATGCAGCTCTGTCCATAACTAAATCACCACTTACAGGTTTGTTGAAAATGTGCTTTTTGAACGGTAGGAGATCCATAGGCCATAGCACTCACATTTCTTCCTCTTAATGTAGTGTTAAATGTGCATAGTTTCCACATTCAATCTAATATATATTGGAAATCTATGTTAAGCTCACAATATTTTACCATTGTTAGTCTTCAAGAAATCTCCATTTTCACATGATATACTTTGTGTAACTATTCTGATTTTATCCTGTTTTTAAGAGCGGTGAATTACATAACTTAACACTATATATATTGATTTGTCTGAAATTCAGGTGGGAAACTGAATTCTTATTGCTCCTTAAAAGTATGCTTTGAAGGATTTTCCCAAAACATGTATCTTTCGATGTAGAAATTTGAACTTCTATCATGAGCTTATCAAGATTCCAAGGCAAATTAATATTTGCAACATGGGAATGCTAAAATATTAATTTAATGAATTGTACTCCTATCATTTAAGAAGATTTTTTTAAAAATATAGATTTACATTTCTTAACTTTAAGTTAAACAGTGATCCATGTTGTGGCCATGTTGTAGTCAAGGACATATAAATAAATAAATAAATGGGATTTTATTTTGCAATTCTGTCCCTGCTGTTCATGCATGAACATCTTAAAATTTACATGTCATGAAAATTTCTGTACATTTATTTTACGAATAAAGGAATTTACGAGGGGTGATCAAAAAGTTCGCGAACTATCTCTATATTTACAAAACTACAATTCAGATGAGAATGAAATTTGGCACACACATAGTCATACACATATTCTATAAATAGCAGGTGTTGTATAATGTTTTGCTCCGTGTTTGTGACGTCACAGTGTGAAAATGACGTCAATACGTAGGTGACTTGTGACAAAAAATGGTTGACTCAGTAGTACTCGAGCAACGAACGGCTGTAAAGTTTAACGTATATTTTGGAAATTCCTTTGCATTAGAATATGATAGTTTGTACAAGGTTTATAAAGACAAAAGACTTACCAGAAGTTCAATCATTAATTGGATTGATTGTTTTAGTGAAGGCAGGGAGATGGTTAGAAATGATGTTTTTTCTGTTGGCCACCGAATGCAAGCCGGGGAAAAGATGTGTCCTTAGTTGAGCAATTTGTTTTGAAAGACCGCCAAGTTACGATTAGAAAAATAGTTGAATATCTTAACTATAATATAATTGTTAAATCCCTAAAATATCGTTTACTTTAGACTTTAAACATATGAGATATGATAAAAAGAGGTCGTCCATACTTTATCCACATTGGATAAACGACGCTCCCGAGACAGAGGGCTCGGGTTTTGATGATCATCATGCTAATTCTGGGAAGGGATATCCTTATCCACCAATCCTATTGCCGAGATTTGGCCATTTCTGACAGATGGACTGTTCTTGTTATAAAAAATAACTTGCATGGTAAGAAATATAAGACTCGGAAAAATCTTTTAGCTTCTGTGAACAGAACGCTACGGAGCATGTCACGTGACCGCCTGGATCACGTGATTCGCGCATGGGCAGAACAATGGCAGATGTGCATTATAATCCGAGAGGACTACTTTAAAAAATAATGAGCACTGAAACCTCATTTTACTTCTTTTAAGGAAGTTATTCAATTAGTTCGCGAACTTTTTGATCACCCCTCGTATAGCCCTGCTTGGTCAGAATACATATTGAAGTTTCTTCCTTTATGATCCTATATTATTATGTTCCCCTCATATTTTGGCCCATCCTCAGACAAAGCTTCAAGAAGTGAACAACACAGCTTAGAAATAGTTTGTTCCGTTAGCCAGGTAACTTTTAGATTTTTAGATTACATGAACTATTTTTTTTTTACCTTTTCCTGATTTATTTTCCGTTGGAATAGTGCAAGACCTTCATTTGTAAAAAGAAAAATGCATTCCAGTTACCCAAGGGTGCTTTGAGGCATGTTTGGCTTAAAATTGACTCGGAGGTTGTCTAGAAGAAGATGAAAATGTTATATTTTACAAGTGATGTAAAACAGAGATGTTACTAGCAGACACCCACCTGTACAGATCACACTCAATTTAGCATTTTTCTTCTTACAGAAGTGCTAAATTGTTGATGATAAAATCATTGTGAAAAAGATAGTTGACACAATTCTTGAGTGTATTCATTTAATCAAAACAAGTATACGTTAAATGTTTCATGTTTTAGTTCATATATTCTTTTATTTTTATAGTGAGTCTCTTTTTCTTTAAGTAAATTTGTTCTTGTAATGTATACTTTGCTATGAAGTGATCTGCTGACGAGGCTTTTTCTTACTTAAATAGGTAACTTGCTGGAAGGATTGGACCTGCTAAAGCAGTTCACTTTTCAAGCTGTTCTCTCCTCACCTTTTGCCATCGATTCTTTCTTCGTCATCAGGTAAAGAAGAAGAAAAAATAGAATGAAAGATACTAAGTAAAAGGAATCCACAATAAGGCCACCTGACAAAAAGTTAAAAACAATATCGTTTAAAAGAAAACCATTTCAAATATACAATGCACAAGAACATATGCCTATCTAAACTATTTAATCTAAACTATACTTTGCAGCGGTGTATAGCAACAGAACATTTTCATCAAAGCCTCTTACAAGGTTTCGTTAATTCTATTATGCAGACAGGATACCTAATATTACACATTTGTTTTTATTTAAGATTATTTCAAAAATATAGATGAACTTTTGGTTGATACCTAGTATGCTTTTCATTTCATTACAGTGGTTTTTTGGTAACATACCGATTCCTTCGAAAATGTACACGCAAACAAAAACTAAAATGGCAGTCAATCATTGGATTTTATTCTAACAGATACATAAGGTATTTCAATTTTACAGAATGTAATGAATACTAATTTGTGTGAGAGAGAGAGAGAGAGAGAGAGAGAGAGAGAGAGAGAGAGAGTTAGGATATTTCCAAATGCTTCATTATTTAGGATATATTCTATTTACTTTCAGGATAACCCCGGTTTACATAATCATAATGATGGTGTACACGTGTTTTTATCATTATCTTGGTGACAGTCCCTTGTATCCGAATTCTATTCCTGTAGCGGACAAATGCAAGGAATATTGGTGGCATCATATTCTATACATAAACAATGTTGTAGGAACGACAGGGAATTTAGCTTTTGAGCAGGTATTTCTACTAAATGATCCTCCTGATCCATATACATGTATACATAAATGTATAGGTATGCGTCTACAGATGTACATGTTTTGCAACACTTCGTACACGGGAGTGCAAATATTTTAACAAACATTATATATATATATATATTAGGGATGGCAATTTTTAACCGGTTAACCGATTACTCGGTCGGAACGATGGTAATCGGTTGGCAAATCTGTAATCGGTTAGTCGGGAAAAAATATATGTGTAAACTTCCTCAGAAATCAATTTTCATCATAAAAATTCTCTGAATGTTGATAAGTTTTCCACATTTATTTCAGCCAACTTGGAGGTAATTAATTAATTTAGGCTCTTCAAATTGAGGCCGTTGGGGTTAATTGGTCAGTTTTTGAAGTGTTAATTGCTGTTTAAACACCATGCCGTTAAACTCCATTGTACATTTTCTGTATCTCTTTTAATGATATTAATTAATTAAAATTTCTTTTGAGTACATTGACCTGATTACAATGTGTATCTTACCCGTCTTCTGGAGTTGTCTGCCAAATTATGTTTTTAAACAAACATTGCAAATTAAGTGTTAGTTCGGACTCATTTTCTGTTTATGGTGATAATGCAAAATGATGTTGCGTAACATCATCAGTCTTAAATATCTGATGGACATTTCATGGTTTTCTTATTTTTTTTCTATCGAAATTTAAATAAAGCATATGAAGTGTAGTGATTAAGCATATACAAAATATAACTGATTTTTTTTTTTGAAAAGTTTTCTTGTGTATATGAATAGAGTTTACTTTAAAAAAAAAAGGTCAGAAAAATGTGTATTTGATACGATTAACCGGTTAATCGGTCGGAACGTCTTGCGGTTAACCGATTAGCAGTTTTGTATTCGATTGCCATCCCTATATATATATATATATATATATATATATATATATATATATATATATATATATATATATATATATATATATATATATTGAATACTGGCTTCCTTTACAATTTCAGTGTATGCCGTGGTCTTGGTTTCTAGCATGCATAATGCAGTTCTACCTTATAACACCAATACTCATTGTATTTTATTTATGGTATGTATTTTTATAAAAGTTTTCCCTTTGACTTTCAATGAAGATGCTACTTTTTCTTTTCGTATTCTTTGGAATTGATTTTGTATTTGTAAGACGTTTAATTCGTACAAACTTGAAAATTTATGGTACTATTATCCAATTCTCGAGCAAATTATGATAAAGCATATTTACAATTTGTACATTTGAAATCTGAAAGCTTAACCAAGTATTCTGTGAAACATAAAACCAATTATTTCATAAAGGGTTAATTAATTAATTCAACTTTGAAGGTCGTCAGTTCTTGGAGGGGTTATAGTTGGGCTCCTTTTGATAGCAAGCGTAGTTGCGACAGCGATCAAGGAGAAAATGTACACTGGAGACATCATGTCGTGAGTCATTATTTTCTTATATTCAAGAATAACTTAACCATTTGTAAATAAAAATATAATCTAAAGAATGAAAATTAAAGATAAATTGACGAAGCATGTATTTTAAACTATGTTCTTCAGATTCGAAAAAACGCAAGATGTAAACTTCAAAACAATTTTTAAATGACTAAGCTTTCAATATTACCTTAGAATGATGTCTGATGGTGGAGACTATTGGAACAATGTATTTATCACCCCTTGGTGTCGAGTGGGTGTCTATTGCATCGGTATTCTTTTGGGATTCTTATTCGATACTTATGATTCTAGAGAAAAAGTCAAAATTAGCAAGGTAGATATCACATTAATGTATTTAGTTCCTTACATCTTGTGATAGATGAATTTCATTAAATAAAGATATCAATGATATATTTCTTTAGGTCGTCAATCTTTTTGGATGGTTATTTTCTCTGGGTTTAATGATAACGCTTGCATACTCACCATTCACAAAGAATCGTGAGGGAGGTTATTCCTGGACCCCACTTCAGTCAGAGGTGTACGAGGCTATATCCCACGTGGTCTGGGCCTTGGCTCTCTCTTGGGTGATTTTTGCATGTGCTAAAGACCACGGAGGTATGTTGTTTTATTTTATTGAAAAAGCGCTAAAACTCTGAATTTTGGGAGGGGATCTTAAAAAAAACCTTTCATCCTATCCTATTGCAAGAGCGAACCCCACCCCTTAATCACCGGCATTACATAAAATATATACTTAGATTCATATTAATACTAATTTGAGTTCAGTTTTAGATTCTTCAAGGAACAGCATACATTAGACTTGTCTAATAAATTTTGTTTACTAAATTATATATTTATATCTATATAGGAATTAAACACAGTTTTCTGTCAAGTTAACAATATATTTCTCTTTAAAAGACTTGTATGTTTGTCTGTCTAGGAATTGTGAACTGGATCCTATCTTGGCGAGGATTCCTTCCCCTGTCTAGGTTATCTTTTGTTGTTTATCTAATTCATCCAGTTGTTATGGTGGCTTTTGTTTATAACAAGAAAGTTTTGGTTTACATGAACAATTTAGAAATGGTAAGTAATTTATCCTGGAAAAAAATCATAATTATTATAAATAAATTAAAAGCACAAGTCTTTACCATTGAATTCAATACAGAATAATAATTTCTGAGGAGAGAACGACCCCTATAATTTTCTTTCAAAATGGATTTTATTTTGTTATCAGCTGTTTATTTTCAAACAGAATGGCGACAAAAATGGAAATTTAAGCAAATTTATTACAAAGGATTAAATCTAAGACAAATTATTGTTGACAATTTATATTAAAAAATATTCTGTCAATTAAGAGTTATTCCCCCTAGAAGAGCGTAATTTCCCCTTAAAGGATGATGTAAACAATCTTGACTCAGTAGCTTCGTTTATAATTTATTTCCAGGCGTACATGTTCCTTGGTCATCTGATTTCGTCGTTTGCCCTTGGTACATTGTTCTCGGTGGGGATAGAGTTACCCTTCATACGTCTGCTCAAGCTTCTTAAGCGAAAAGGATGCTCTTCTTATTGCTAGACTTGTCGCATGAGTGGCTAATTTTAGAGATTCCATGTAATGGTTTGAAGATAGAAGTGTTAGGTAGTAATACTCAAACATTCTGTTTTCATCAGCGTCGTCTTTTGCTAATTTATCTTAAAAAATTGTTTTATTCCATAACACTTGACATGTATATTTGTATATATTATATGTAAATATTTTTACAGTTTTAATTGTTCAACGCGATTGAATATATTAATATAAAAATAGGCGTTTAATCAAATAAATCATTTTCAGTTTATTCCAAAAGATGATGCTTTTATCATGCTTATCATAAAATGAATTATTATTACAGAATGTGCATTTGTATTTTTCTACATTGAAATTGTATCCTTGCTTAATAAAGTGTAAAAACAAAATATGTGTGCTCCTTTTTTTTCTTTTTAAAAATCTGTATCATGTCTATTTTAAAAATTAATTGATTCTTTGCTACAGCAGACAGAAAAAAATACACAAACGAGTTCCAACATCGTTCATATGTCTTTTTTTCATAAGAAAAATGAAATGCTGTTGGCTGAAATTAGATCCCTTCTAATGTCTGAAAATCAAAGATCGTCAAAATTTCGAGTTCGAGTAAGGTACAAATCCTTTTATAGCCTCTACATGTATGTGATATTTAATGTTTTCAAAAAGTCTTTTGATTCACTTTTTTTTATCAAAGCAAACTTGATTTATTCAAACATATAAGAATAATGTACATGTAATTTGCATTTACCCAACCAAAACAATTGATAGATAGCTTACAATTACGCTATCACTTACTACTTCTGAGGCCTTGCAATACACAGTGCACGCTTGAAATTTACCTGTGTGACCTGCTTTCCGTGACTTAACTTGATAAACATTATGACAGTATGTGAAAAAAAAAACACAGACACAAACTACACATGCCTCAAATGGAGGTGTCGTTTTACAACAATTTAACCAGTCTGTGATATAACATTTATTATCCGGTCTCTTTTATCGGTATCATCAGGTATGAGATGTATGTAACAACAAAACTGTAAGCGAGATCCTTCATCAAACGCAGGTAAGAATCTGACTATATGTGTTTATATTGTACGTGTGCTCTATCAGCTCTTTAAAATATTCATCGACTCAGCTAATACATGTACGACAATTATATCAAAATAAATTTTCTTCATCCTTATATTAACTTCATTTTTTTTTTTCAAATTTAATTTTTTTTATACTGATTTTTTCTACCTGGTGTATAACAAGGTCAGAACATGAGGAAGTACATGTAGACGTTTACATTTTTAACCAAAAGGATGGACTAAATAGCCTAAAAAAATATTCAGACTGTGGAAATTTATTTGTTCATCAAAACTTCAATATTGATGACACTGATAAGTGTTAAATTGTAAATTTCCTTTTTTTTCTTTTTTAAACAGATGCCGATTTACAGACTTTTAAAATCGCTGTACTGTTGATGAAATTTTCAGATTCATCATGCTGAAAAAAGTTTGGCGGTGGCTGAAGGATGGAGGACATGTGTACTTAATTATGGTCCTTTCTCTGGCATACTTATTATACTTGTACCTTAATCGACATAGTATTCAGGAAGAAAGTGAAGAAGCAAATGGAAATACTCACACATGGTATACCGATTTTGCGGACTTTTTTCTGACTTTTCAAGATTTTTCAGAATGAATTTTTTTTAATTGAAAATGGTTTCAAATTAAAGTTGAATAATATGCAAACAACTTGTTGTTTTTTTTCATCCAACGCGCTATTTCAAAAGGTAAGATAGTGACCCCCAAGTTATTTCATCTAAATATTTTTGCCGTTAAAAGTTGTGAAAAACTTTATATATATATATATATATATATATATATATATATATATATATATATATATATATATATATATATATATATATATATATATATATATATTAGGGATGGCAATTTGTAACCGGTTAACCGATTACTCGGTCAGAACGGTGATAATCGGTTAGAAAACCTGTAATCGGTTAGTCGGGAAAAAAAAAATAAAAATACGTATAAATTTTCTTAAAACTCCATTTCAAATGTTAAAAAAAACCTCTGAATATTGATAAGTTATGATGTTTTCACATTTAATTCGGATGATTTGGAGGTAAATACTGTAAGACTCTCAAAACCGAAACCGTTGGGGTAATTGGTCCCTTTGCGAAGTTTTAATTGCTGTTATAACACCCTGCGTTACCCAGCCTGTCTTAAATTTCTTCGATGATATTTACCAAATATTTGTTGAGTTTTGTAAAATGATTTAAATGATGAATGTACATATATATGTATGTATCTTACCCCTATCTATCTATCCTTCGCAGTTATCTGACAAATTATATTTTTAAAAGAAACATTGTAAATTAAGTGACAGTTCAGACTCAGTTTCTGTTTATGGTGACAATGCACAATGACCTTGTGTTGTAACATTATCAATTTCTTTGATATCTTAAGAGATGTTTCATGCTTTCCTTATTTTTTTCTTGCCTTTCGAAATTGAAATTAAATATAGCTTACTAATCAAGCATTAACACAATATTATCAACGTCTTTTTCAGTTTTCTTGTGTATATAACTAGAGTTTACTTGAAAAAATAAGATATAAGGAAAATATGTATTTTGATACGATTAACTGATTAATCGGTCGGAACGCCTTGCAGTTAACCGATTAGCAATTCTGTATTCGATTGCCATCCCATATATATATATATATATATATATATATATATATATATATATATATATATATATACATATATATATATATATATATATATATTCTTTTTAAAGCATGAAATTCTGGGGGGGGGGATCCCACATCTCATGCATTAATTCCTATTGAAGATTAATACAGAAATTTATGCCTTTGCCATTTTTAAGTGATCATGCAGTGCAGCTACTTGTATATATCCCGTCACATGCTCCCATCACATGTGTCCATCCTTATGGGTGGATGTTCATCTATATCATTGTACAATTTTGTGATATCCTATTATGAACAATTATGGTAGAAGAATCGCCCTTTTTCTATATGGAATTCAAAGTCATTACATTGGTAAAGAATGCTACCATTCATATAAATGGAAAAGTAGTGAAAAAAGACTGAGATCATTAAAACAACCTTTGGTTAGAATATAAAAACGCTTTCTTCAGATTATTTGCAGTATGGATCAAATACTACAATCAGGAGTCAAGATGCACGAGACTATAAAATCATATTCCAGTCCTACTTTCTGTCTACAGAAATATAGTAACATTGTGGCTCATTTTTTATACAATTCCTAGGCAAATTTGAATGTCTTATAATCTACCCAGTGTTGTGCAGTTCATCATCTATTGCTCTTTAAAACACACATGTTTTTTTCTCTCATTTTCTGCTCATATATAATTATAACATTGTACCCACCTTACGTTATGGCTCTAGTGCCATAGCCAAACTGTGAACAACTTGGCTTGAAGATTAAAAGTTTCACTATTCACGGATGAATTATTATTTTTAGACTTTAAATTTGAATTCCTTTGTAAAATTTTACACAATTATTGTGGCCTTACTCTAATTTGAATCGAAATTACGTCTACAATATTTAAAGAATCACTGTCTAGTTAGTAGAATATGCCAGGGCATCAACGATAGTTGGAAACGTGGAATAATTTGCATAACGGGCGAAGCCCGTTATGCATAAATTATCCCACGTTTCCGACTATCGTTGATGTCCCTGGCATACTCTACTAACTAGACAGTGATTCCTTATATTTCCATTTCATTGTGAAATAAAATTGTAAATTTAGATTTTAAAAATGTAGACTAATAGATTTAAATTACACTAGGCCTCACATGTCAATTTCAATAGTCCCCGCCCACTGACGTCAAACACAAGGACAGGCGCACGAGAATTACAGGCATATTAGGCCTCCTTACAGTCAGACACAAAGACAGCCGCACGAGAATTACATGCATATTAGGCCTTCTTAGCTCCTGACCTTTCGCTTGGCGAAATTTGCATTCCGTTAGAATGATCAAGAAATCAACTCTCCTAACTTTCAAAGAGTTATCACAGAGAAAACAAATAGAAATGGACATATGGAGAAATGGTGTTCATTCTTCTCATTTACATATCGGCCATATTGGAGCTATAATGGCGACAGATTCCATAAAGGTTTATATAGAGAACGAACAAAAACCCGCAGATTTTTATATACTAACTTTTTCGGATAAAGTTCTTCCGCCGATGTTTAGATTTTTCTTAATATCTTTTACCGGAAATGACAATATTGTTGATAACAAAGTGAAAGTTGCGACCGCCTTTTTGATCTGAAATTCCGAAGCGAGAGTATAATGTTTTAAAGAAGGAAAGAGCGCAGACTTGGTGTCTTTATCATTTTTGGTAGTTAAATGTAAGTGTTTATAGCAAGTTGACAGAGTTCTTCCGCCGATTAATAGGTGCAGACGAATGCCTTTTTTTTTTTTTTTTTTTTTTTTATAAAATACAGACGATTTATCATTTCATGAAGAGTTACGACCGCCTTTTTAATTTGAAAACGGCAATTTCTTGCATCAGTGTGACCTACTTATTACCAAAAAAGATGGTTTCATGAGTTGTCAACTGTTAATACCTTAAAATTCTGCCCAAATAACTATGACGGAGGCTTAAAAAAAAAATAAACAAACGGTGCTTGCAGGTTTTAATATAAAAATTTAAAGGAATGGAATATTTCGAGTTTATGCAGGATCTTATGAATATTAATGAGAAGTAAATCACGTGGGAGCAACCTCATGAATAAACTGTACATCATTTCTCCATATGAAATATATAAAGATATATGCGTACCTGATATCCGTAAGCAGTTCTTTAAGTGAATAATAGTAAATTACTTAAAATAAACTATGTACTTTAATTTCGCAGATCCGTTCTTAATGACAAAATATTCACTGTAAATCTAGAAAATTGTGCAATAACTTGTATATTTATATATACATGCTTACTTAAAAAGAAATTATTAAGAACAGTCAAAATTGCTTGAAAATGTAACATCTTCCGCTATAGATCCAAAATCATGAATATAAGCGTTTAAGATGGGGAACTTTTATGAAATTATTACCAGGTTATAAGAAATAAGGTATGTCACTCGTCAGCTTTTTAGAAAAGTTCGGTCAGAACCTCTAACTTCAAAACTATTCATTACAATTCAATTTTTATAACATATGCAAATTATACGATATTCAATTTAAAAAATGCTCACAAAATCATAAAGAAACAAGATTTATGGGGGACTATTTCTTGTGGTGGAAGGATATTAAGAAGAACATTCTTCAAATCTACACATCTAGTCCCACATATTTTTACTCAGAGAATATTTTCCGTTTTTATATTCTAGGGATTTTAAATATAAGTTTCGATGTATATTTTTAGAACAAATTTTACACATTCACTCAACAGGCTTTGCCAAGAAATGAAAATATATTAAAGAAGTCTAGATAAAATTTACATTGTTTTTTTTTTTGCCTAAAAATTGCATATTTTGACCAATATCTCAAAATTTACATCACTGACCCAAACTTTTTCTTTCCTTATTTTAAACTTCATGGAACTTCTGACCAATCAGCACTAAAGTCATAAAAAGTTTGATACAAGAAAATATTTTATTGCCTATTTAGATTTTAGATACCCCAAATATGATACTTTTTTAGTGCAAAAAGGTCACAGAATAATTTATGCGTATTAATTTGCATGATTTGTTTAACGATACATATTATTCAAACTATTTTACGTAAAATAAGATTATATTTATTGCCATGATTACATCCGATACAATATGATAAAGATTAACGTGATTAACTTAAGAGTTACAATTTAAGTGCAAAAAGGTCAAATTAATTGTACCGTTGCTCAGTAAAATGCACACCGACCCCCGATTTTCTTTGTCATTTTGAATCATGCTATATGATTACTAATCTAAAATATACTTCTCAAAAAAAACCTTGATATATCTAACTTCACGAGTGACATACCTTAATATCGTAAAGAACGTATTTTAAGATTTATTCTTGTTTTATAATCTGGAGTTTTACATTGGATAAGACTCCAAAATAAAACTTTTTAGTTGCTGATAAATTGGTGGACAAATGACAACAGAGAAAGTAATTTAAGAAGATTAGAGGACAATTTGTGGAGATACTTGAGCCAAATCAAATACAAAATATTTATGTGTGTAATAAGCTTAAAGGTTGCGGCATTATATATATATATAATTATATATATATATATATATATATATATATATATATATATATATATATATATATATATATATATATATATATATATATATATATGAAACGAGACGGGAAAAATACATACTACACTACTTCTGATAAAATTTTATGAAAGTAACAATTCTCATCATATTGAGTGAAATTTCCACTTTGAAAATGATTGGGCCAAAATTTATCTGAATGTACAAAAATATCTGACAGGGGAAAAACACTCCCTCATCTTTGCAATATTTAAAATCCCTGTAAGCTATTATCTTGTACAATTAAGTCCTATTCATTTTCGAAAAAGATAAGCAGTATAATATCATACCCTTTTCCTTTTATTGATACACTAGTAAAACTTTTTTTTACTATTAAAAAACCTGTTTTTTCTTAGTGAGAGGAAAGAAGAATAAATACAAAACCATTCATTCTTTATTGAATCACTTGGTTTTAATACATTT